TCTTCCCTGTCTCTTCTGAATTCTGGTGAGCCCATTCATTTGGACTCTCGAACTTCGTCTTCCCTTTACTTAGATTTCGAGTGGCGGGTTCTTGATGACCTCCATGGCAGTGACCATTTTCCCATCCTTGTTTCCCTTTTCTCTTTTCACCCTCCCCTAGGTGGCGGTTTGCCAAGGCTTACTGGTCCCTCTTTACCATCCGTGCTACTATCTCCGTCCTTTCCATTCTGCCTCTCTCTTGTGCCCTCCTCCTTTTTTATGACACTGTCTTCAACGCTGCCCTCCACTCTATTCTTCGCTTTTCCTACCGGGGCACACTTGACCCTTTAACTGCGCGGCCTATAAATATGACATTCCCCCCAGTGCGCAGGAAATGAAACCTTGGGAAAAAATTATTTTTTCTTCGGAAAGTGTCAAAAACCCCTCCCTGTATATGGGTATAGCAACAGAAGTTCGAAATTGTACTTACTTTAGCTGCTATGGGGTCCAAAAGGTGGGGCGTGAAGTCATCATTCCCCGTGCGCCAAAGCAGTATGCTCCCGGTGTCAGTGGGGCGCCCGGGGCGGGGCGTGCGAGTTGCCGCGAATATATTTTTGTTCATTTTTTGCGCACAGTTCCAAATACATTTTATTTGTTTTTACGTGCTAATCCTATGTATAATGAACACGTACACTATATTATGACAGTAAAACATCTGTACTGTCTGAGGACACTGTGTTACGTGCATGACACTTGTGTACACATATGTTGCACATATTTACCATGTATCATGCTAATTTATGTAATATATACAATCTATTTACAGACTATACCCACTGTCACACACTATATACATTCACGATCAACACACTCAGAACACCGCGAGTGTGAGCAGCCACACCCAGCCAGCCCTCCCTCACTCCAACATCTTACTCGCCAACATTGCTCCTCCCACCATTGTTATTGTTCTTATTACACTAATTACACGTTATATATACCTATCTACATGTTTTATTTACCAGAACTATGCAAGTAAGATGATATTGTGTCCAAACAGTACAGTTGCCACCATACACTGCATGACAAATCACACAGCAGACAGCAGACGACGCTACGATTACGACGTCACCTCCCTCACCAAAATAGCTCCTCACAACATACTCCTGGTGCTGTTATTACACTATTCACACACACTGTATATACCCATGTACATATGTGTTCCCCATAGCGAACCACGATGCTAGTATGGTGAGCAAAACAAGAGTTACTGCCACACAGTGAGGCTACCTCAATTCTCTCCCTTCCTCTCTCCCTCACCAAAATTCCTCCTTCCTACGCACAATGTAACCACAATTCTGGTCACTAATACCTGTAAGTGAATAATTGACCACATGTTTTTGAAAGGGAACCTAAAAAGTCGTTTGAAGATTCCTAGATGGACGAAATAATGCTGTGGTACTGTGGCTAGCGCTGTGAATATCATGAACAGCATTGAATCACATATATTTGAACATTGTACCCAGTCATTATCATACTCCGACTCTTCTATAATACTATCATGGCTAAATAAAACAGATTATATATATATTTTGACAATATTAGGCAATGCTGTGGTCACACGCTGAACAGCAGTGCTGTGCGCTCATGCTGCGAGCGCCAGCCTTGGTTGCTCACTCACTACTGAGGCTCTGACACCCGGCAATGTGGACCATGATTTTTTTTAAAGGTGGCATCTGTTTACAAGAGCCCTGAGGAAGCTGATGTGAACCCCATGTAGCCGCGGGAGTTTTGAATGGAACGTGAAAAATAAAAACACCCGGAGGTGCGTTGCGCACCTGAAGCCTGGGCCTGCAGGCGCGTTGCGCAGTTAAAGGGTTAAGTGTGTTCCCTGGTGGAATGTGGACTATGCTTGGGCAGTCCGCTGTAAGCCTGCAGCCTGGAAGAGACATCGTCGCCGGCATACCCCCGAATCTTTTCTTTTGTTTCCGAAGGCAAGTGCGGTGGCCCGTAGGACCATCCGTATGGCTAAACGTGCAAGTTGGGCATCTTATGTCTCCACCATCACGTCCGAAACTCCTCTCCCGCTGATCTGGAAGCGTATCCACAAGATAGCGGGTAAGTTCGTTCCCGGTCCTTCACCTCGGTGGTAATCTTGTGGCGGACCCGTTGCAGGTCGCGACCGAATTGGGTTCCCACTTTTCGTCTGTTAGCTCTGGTTCTCATCTCCCCCATTCCTTCCTTCTTTGTAAGCCTCTTCTTGAATCTCGTCCTTTGGATTTCTGTACCTATCTCTGCTTTCCCTATAATGATCCCCTCTCTGTCTCTGAGCTCCTGTCTGCCCTGGCCCTCTGCAGTTCTGCGGCGGCGGCGAGCTCCGATGGCATTCATTATGAGATGCTTTGGCATCTCCCTCTGTGCTCGTCTCAGTATTTACTGAGTCTGTTTAATCGGGTCTGGAAGTCGTCGTCAGTCCCTGAGGACTGGCTCGACACTGTTGTCCTCCCTGTTCGCAAACCAGGGTCTCTCGGATCTTTCCCCAAGGACTTCCGCCCTATTGCCCTCACAAGTTGTGTCTGCAAGCTCTTTGAACGTATGGTTAACGTTCGTCTGATGTGGCTCTTAGAGCACTATCACCTCCTTTCGCCTTCTCAATTTGGTTTTCGCAAATGCCGCAGCATAACAGATGTCCTGGTGAACTTGGAGGTCTATATTCGTACTGCTTTTGCTGCGAAGACCTCTGTTGTTGCCATCCTTTTTTACCAGGAAAAGGCTTACGACACCACTTGGCGATATCATAGTCTGTCCCAACTTCATTCTTATGGCCTTCGTGGTAATCTCCCTCTCTTTCTCCAAAGCTTCCTCTCTCGTACCAAGCCTCACTCCTTTTGGGTGAGGCTTGGTACCGCTCTCTCTGCCTCTTTTCAGCAATACGAAGGTGTGCCCCTGGGTAGTGTTCTGAGCACTAGTCTTTTTCTGGTTGCCCTCAATGGTCTTCTATCCTCTCTTCCTTCTGGTGTCTTCTCCATTCTCTATGTCGACGATCTTACCCTTTGCTGTCGGGGTGGTGATTCGCCTCTCCTTCAACGCCGGCTTCAACTTGCAATTGATGCCGTGTTGTCTTGGGCCACCGATCATGGCTTCAGGTTCTCTACGTCTAAGACTTGTGCTATGACTTTTACTCGGAAACGTGTCTTTTTCGTCCTTCTTTGTCGCTTTATGGTCACCATATTGTGTACAGGGATTCCGCTAAGCTTTTGGGGTTGATTTTTGACACTCATTTGTCTTGGTCGCCTCATATCTCTTACCTCTGAGTTGAATACTCTAAGGCCCTTGCCCTCCTTCAGGTGTTGTCCCATACTTCTTGGGGAGTGGATAGGCACGCTCTCCTCACTTTACATTCCTCTCTCATCCTGTCTAAACTCGATTATGGTTGCCCTGCTTACTCGTCTGCTTCTCCTTCCACTCTTCACAGTCCTGATGCTTTGCACCATACTGGGTTGCGCCTCAGTTCTGGTGCCTTTCGTTCATCTCCCGCCCTCAGTTTGTATGTTGACACTGGCTTCTTATCTCTCCAGGACCGTTGTGATCACTACTGTCTTCGCTATCTTGCGGGGTCCTTGCAGCATCCTTTCTCTCGAGTCTGCCGTGCTTTAACCTTTACCCCTCTTGTGGTTTCTGTTCCTCTTTACCACCTCCCTCTTTCTGTCCGGTTATCTCGCTTACAGGATTCTCTTTCGGTTCATATTTCTAATATTTCTCTTCGTATTGTTCCTTCCTTGCCCCCCCGTGGAGGGTTCCCCTTCCGAAGTTTTGTACATCCTTGACCCGCATTACTAAAGCTTTTACTCCTCCTACGGTTCTGAAACGCCTTTTTCTTTAGCACTTTTCTTTACACTCCCATTCCGTTTCCATCTTCACCAATGAGTCTAAGTCTGCGGACAGTGTGGGCTACTCCGCTGTTTTTCTTGACCGCACTTATATGTGTCGCCTTCCTTCGGAGACGAGCATATTCACAGCGGAGCTTTATACTAGTCTCCATGCTCTCCGTCTCCTGCTTTCTCGTTGTCAATCCTCCTTTGTGATTGTTGTTGACTCTCGTAGTGCCCTCATGGCTCTCAGGTCCTTTAATCCTGTCCATCCCGTTGTCGTCGAGATTCAACATTGGCTGTTTCTTATCTCTTAGTAAATTTAAATTTGTGGAGTTTTGCTGGGTTCCCAGCCATGTTGGTGTTTCTTTAAATAAGCGTGCGGATGTCCCATTTCCCATAAAGGTATTCCTTTTTCCAACTTTTATCTGGTTATTCATTCCTCCATCCTTGCCCATTGGCAGGGTTGTTAGTCTTCTGTTGTTGGTAACAAACTGCGTACTTTTCAGTGTTCCCGTGGCTTTCCTCCTGCCACCGTAACCGGCGGTGAGAAACGGCTCTAGCACGGTTGCGTCTTGGCCATACTAGCTTAACTCACGGTCACTTAATGGAGTGCCGCCCAGCTCCTTATTGTCCAAATTGCGTTGTCCCTCTTACCGTCGTGCATATCCTTGTTGAATGTCCTGACTTCTAGGACGAGCGTGTCTTTCTTTCCGACTGCCCCTTGCGGTCACTTGTCCCTGGATAGAATTCTTAGTGAATCGGATACTTTTGATATCTCTTGATAATTACCTTACCTATTGTTAAAACATACTTACTTCATTACACAAATTTGTAAAATTTGATATTACTGTATCAAATACTGTATAATGCCATAATCAAATGATTTCATAAACAATGCTATTATTATTGTCCGAAGTTACTCTTGGTACGTCTGGTAAGTAAACATAGTTTTCAGGTGCCAAGAACGAATGCCCAAAAAAAAAAATATTGGACTTTATACATTCCAATTCATTACAATAGCCTAGTACTACATACTAATACAATTTAAAAAACTAATTGGAAATAATAGCCAGCCTACCCTAACACAATGACCTAACCTAACACTTCTTTATTTGCAATTTTGTCACAAGCTGATTAAATGATTATTTTTACCTGCATGTATGCTGGCTGGGGTCGATCTTCCAGGCATATTTATTCTGCTGATTTGTTGTTTTACTTCTTCCGCAATAGAAGGATTTGTGACAGACACTGTACTGCATTCTGTATCTACCTATTATAAAAACGATAATAGATTAAAACATGCTGTATACTCAAACGTATTGGAATGTGTATATCAATATGCATTAAAATTTCTTCTTTCTACACATAACAAGTAAAATTTAATACTGTAACTCTCACAACCAGACCATCACCAGAGAAATCTTAACAAACAACGCAGAAATTATCAACATATACATCGATAACAGGAGGCTCTACATCAACGTGGCCCTATGCATAAAAAAGTCAAAACCAGCACTCGACAGCCAATTAACACAATTACATTCTACCCACTTAGACCCTAAACCAGCACAGAATCAAGCAGATAAAATGAATAAACATGGTTATATACCCTGTATATATCCATTGTTTTGTGTTTTGTCTTTTCCCATTGATTTGCTTCCTGTCACCTCGCACAAAAATATTTGTATCCTATCACCTCACCCAAATACAAAAATAAGCATGAAACGGAGTAAATAAAAATTTGTCTTTGCAATTGTGAGAAGTCTTATGAAACGCTTCCCCCTCCCCATCCGACCCGTTGGCGCCGTGAGGGGGCTTGGTGGTCGCCTGCCAGAGTGTGATGCTCAATGGGTGTGATGCTCTGTCTAATTTGAAGTCTGATGCTCCGGCTGCTGTCTTTACCAATTTTGGCCAGAACTCTTTTCTTTTTCCTTGTTTCGTTTCCCCCCCCCCCCCCACCCTCTTCTCCTTTCTAATTGTCATTTCCTGCCGACCTTTTGCTTGTTTTGATTATTCTCTTGAACTTCTATTTTGATGCCCGGGTGTTTGAGGAGGCATACTCTTGCACCCGTAGAACTGTAGTACCCGACATCGAGAGCGAGGGGAACCTTTTATTGTCAATCCTCCTTTCATCACTGAACTCAATATCGACGGACTGACGGTTCTTAAGGTGGCGTTTGTGGGGAGTATACTCACGACGCACCCCTGTGGGGTCCCGACAAGATCGGCGATAGCTTCTTGTTGGGTGTCCTGCCTCTAATTGTGGCTCCATGGTGGGTGTAGGGGCACATTCGTGAATGAAAGTTATTTCCTCGTTTTCATGGCTGATAATGTTTCCCTTGTTCCTTCTCAGGCTCGTGGGGTGGGCGACCAAGCCCCCGATTTGGACTGTGTTGGAAGACCAGGCCCTGTATCCCCCGCTGCATTGGGGCCCAACCCCCTGACTACTCCCCTCTGTCCTCTGCGGTATGGTAGAGTTCCCAGCCCCCAGTGGTGACCACCTCGTCCCCTGGCATGACTCCTCTCTCATTGCGACTACTGCGCCTTTTACCCTCTCTCTCTCTCTCTCTCTCTCTCTCTCTCTCTCTCTCTCTCTCTCCTCTCTCTCTCTCTCTCTCTCTCTCTCTCTCTCTCTCTCTCTCTCTCTCTCTCTCTCTCTCTCTCTGGGGTTCTCAACGCCGTCCCCGCCACGGCCGCACTCGCACGATCCCTTCCCGAACTAACACTTTACAACGCCTTGTTTGGTCCTGCTACGTGGGCTAAATACTTTGATCTCCACCATCTGGATTCTACTCCTGATGATTTCTCCCTCCATAAACATTTTGTTGATTCAGTAGATGCCTCTGTTACTTTTAACTCCACCAGTTACGGTACGCGTGTCGTCGCTGCTCCTTTTCAAAATGCAGCTACTCACTTAACCGCTTTGTCCTGCACTGGAGAGACCCCTGTTTGGGTCTACAAAAACGCTCGGTTAAATGCCAGTGTTGGCACTGTTTTCCTCCCACACCATGTTGCAACTGGTGTTCTGGACCTCAAAGATTGCCATGAGGATATTAAACATATCCTCGAAGCCCACGGCCATTCTGTCCTCCAGGTGGACACGTTTATTCGACCCCTCGTGGTCGTCGCCGTCAGCCCTTCGAGTTGTTAAAATCACTTTTGATAGTAGGGCCCTTCCGCCCTCTATTATTCTTGCTGGTGCCAGATGCTCCGTTCAGGAGTACATTCCCTCTCCTAGATTTTGCAATAAGTGTTGGAAGTTCGGGCATGGTGTCCTCAAATGCACAAGTACTGTGTATCTGTGCCCCTTGTGTGGGGACGATAGTCATTCTAAGTCAGAGTGCACTTCACCCCAGGCTCACTGCCTCAATTGTGGTGAGGCCCACCCTACTTTCTCACGTTCGTGTATGCACTACAAACTCGAAGAAGCCATCCTCAACTTGAAGCACCGTGATCGTCTGTCTTTTTCCTGAAGCGAGAAGCCAAGATCGTCATCTCGCCCCTTTCATGAGCGTATCCTATGCTCGCGTGTTGCGTTCGACCTCTCCTCATCCTTCCCACCTTCCTCAGTCTCTCAACCGTTTCCAGGCCTTAAACCCAACCACCACCACCTCCTCCCCTCCTATTCCTTTGCCTCCTTTCCCGACAGGTCTCCCTCCTGGTTCTCCGTCTGAGGTTCCCCCCCCCCCTTCCTAACCAGTCCACCATATCTCCTATGTCTTCTTCCCCATCTCCCCCCACGCTTTCTTCCCGTCCCTCCCCCTACTCTCTTGACCCTCCAAACCGCCTGTCTGTCCAAGCTGATATCCATCATCCTCCCAGCAATCTTCGTGTTGTTCACTCCCGTTCCTCTTCTCCTGCTGAGACCATAGTCTGTCGCTCGGTACGTTGTTACTAGCACGTCTGTCTCTTCGAGTCAGAAACGTAAGCCTGGCTCCTCTCCTCTTTCCACTCCAGCGGGTAAGAAGGTTTCGCTTTCTTCCTCGCCCCCTCCCTCTGACTCTGTCACTATGTCCCCTCCCGTTTCAGTGGTCGGACCCCCTGTCCCAGATATGGAGGTTTCTTTCGCCCCTGATTCCCTCTTGGTTACTGCCCATGCTGAGGTGCACTCCCTGATTTCTGCCCTCCCCCCTCCCAAGCTCTTGCTGGGGCCCATAACTCTACTGCTCTCTTAATTCGTTCTGATATTCCCTTCGTCCCCCTACTTCTTCCGACACCTATCCATTGTTATGTTGCCCGTGCTTTTGTGGGAAAATGGTATATAGTCTGTTCCATTGATCTCCCCCCAAATGTCCCGCTTTCCCATCCTGATCTTAAGCACCTCCTGGACTCCTTGCCAGAGCCGGAGCTCCTTTTGGGTGATTTCAACTGTCGACATGCCTTCTGGGGTGGTGATCTGACAAACACCCGAGGCCGTCTCCTCTAACCGTTCGTCCTTGCTTCTTCTCTATCTCTTCTGAATTCTGGCGAGCCCACCCATGTGGACTCTCGAACTTGCACCCTTTCCTGTCTTGATCTTTCTCTCTGCTCGTTATCCCTTTAATTAGATTTCCGTGGCAGGTTCTTGATGACCTCCATAAGTGGTCATTTCCCCGTCCTCGTTTCCTTTTTCTCCTTTCTCCCTTCCCTCTTTTTCTCTAGATGGAAGTTTGCAAAGGCTGACTGGAACCTACTCACCCTCTGTGCTACTCTCTCTGGCCTCTCCTCTCCTGCCTCTTCCTTGCGCCCTCCTTTTTTGACACTGTCTTTGACGCTACCCTCCGCTCTATTCATCGCTCTTCCTCCCAGGGCACACGGAAGTGCGTTTCCTGGTGGACGGACTGTGCTTTGGCTATCCGCTGTAAGCGTGCAGCCTGGAAGAAACACCGCCGCCGGCAGACAGCTGATTCTTTTATTGTTTTGGAAGGAAAGTGCGGTGGCCCGTAGGACCATCTGTACAGCTAAACGTGAGAGTGGGAAATCATATGTTCCACCATTACGTCCGATACTCCTCTACCGCAGATCTGGAAGAAGATCCGCAAGATTGCGGGCAAGTTCATTCCGGATGTCTTGCCGGTTCTCCACCTCCGCGGTATTCTTGTCGCGGACCCAGTGACGGTTGCGACCGAATTCGGTTCCCACTTTTCTTCTGATAGCTCTGGTTCTCATCTTCCTCAATCCTTCTGGCTTCGTAAGCCTGTTCTTGAATCTTAACCTTTAGATTTTCACACTCGTCACCGCCTTCCCTATAACGATCCTTTATCACTTTCTGAACTTCAGTCTGCCCTGGCCATCTGCAGATCTACAGAAGTGAGCTCGGATGAATTTCATTGTGCGATACTTCGCCATCTCTCTCCATGCACGTCTCAGTATTTACTGATTGTGTGTAATCAGGTCTGGGAGTCGTCGTCCTTCCCTGAGGACTAGCTCGATTCCGTTGTACTTCCTATTCGTAAACCAGGGTCTCTCGGTACGTTCCCTAAGGTCTTCTGCCCTATTGCTCCCACGAGTTGTCTGCAAGCTCTTTGAGCATATGGTAAATGTCCGCCTGATGTGGTTCTTGGAACACCATCACCATCTCTCTCCTTCTCAACTTGGTTTTCGCAAATACCTTAGCACGACTGATGTCCCAGTGAACTTGGAGGTCTATATTCGTACTGCATTTGCTGTGAAGACCTTCGGTGTTGCTGTCTTTTTTGACCTAGAAAAGGCTTATGACACGACTTAGAGATACCATATTCTGACCCAACTTAGTTCTTTTGGCCTTCGTGGTAATCTCCCTCACTTCCTTCAAAGCTTTCTCTCTAGTCGTACCTTTCGAGTCTGACTTGGTACCACTCTCTCTACCTCTTTTCGGCAGTATGAAGGTGTACCCCAAGGTAGTGTTCTGAGCACTACTCTTTTTTCTGGTTGCCCTCAATGGTCTTATTTCCTCCCTTCCTTCTGGCATCTTCTCCGCTCTTTATGTTGAAAACCTTATTCTTTGCTGTTGAGGTGATGATTCACCTCTCCTTCAACGGGGGCTTCAACTTGCGATTGATGCCGTGTCATCTTGGGCCACCAATCATGGCTTCAAGTTCTCTACTACTAAGACTTGTGCCATGACTTACTCGGACGCGGGTCGTTCTTCGTCCCTCTTTGTCACTTTATGGTCGTCACCTTGAATACAAGGATTCTGCGAGCTTTTGGGGTTATTCTTTGACACTCGTTTGTCTTAATCGCCCCATATCTCTTACCTCTGTGTTGAATGCTCTAAGGCCCTTAACCTACTAAAGGTTTTGTCCCATACTT